AGTTCAGTGATGCAGAACAAGACAAGGAAACAAGCAGCCTGCAAAGCTCAGCAAAATGGTCCCTACCTCTGCTTGGCAGCTGGGGCAGGGGCTGTCACTGGCCCACCAGAGTGTTAGTGACCCTGGCTGCACGAGGGCATTTCTGCAGTGGGGAGGTCTGAAAGGGACACAGGAGCTGCAGGTTGGTCACCTCTCTTACATCTCATGCTCCTGCACATCATCCCACTGGAGGAAAAGCAGACGTGACAAGATAACATCGAAATGAAATCCCAAGGGGGGAAGAGAAATCGGGGAGCTTGTTAAGAAGCCCACTGCCATCTGGAAGGCAGGAAGAGGCACGCATCTGTGAGAAAGTGGCATCTCTGGGGGAAGCCTGGGTGCTTGCAGCTGGCACAGGGAGATGAAAGGATGGGGACTAGCTGATGGGCCTGCCCTGCCCTGGAAATTGGATCAGAGGGTGAAGGGAAGGTTGGTTTTCATTTTCACGAGACTTCAGGGTATGTAGCAGAATCTAAAATAATCACCTCATGCTGATTGTTGTCCTTGGCAGGAACAGTAACTTTATGGCCCAAAGGGTTTAATTGAAGATACAAGGGGGGAAATGAGAGCACATTGGGCCCTTGATTTGCTAATAGGAATCTTTTGTGCTGTTTACTGGTTCAGAGCCATCTCCTAAGTCTTAACCCTTTCTTTGCTCCTTAGTTGCCATGAAAACGTGTGGTCTTCCTTGACTATGCATTTTATTTTTCAGAAGTAAGAACCGTTCTTTTTGAGCTTTCACTAAGCTGCCATCATTGGTGCTAAATCTGGGGCATGGAGAGGGAAGAGGAGACCTATGCCATGGTAACAGATGCCTTTGAATTAGTAACTGGTTTTCTAGTAACTGATATTTTCTGTAATTCAGCCCAGTGAACACCAGCTTCACACTGGCCTTCTCTTAGGGAAACCAAGTACAAAAGGCTTTTGCTTTTGGTGAGTCATGTAAATCCTCCGATGAAGCCTATTCTAACAGAAGGGTAGTAAAAGGCTGTGCTATAAATAGCACTGTGTGTTTGCCTGCACTGAGGCAGAAATGCAAGGTTTCATAGCTCGGATTGAGGGTCCCAGTCGTTTCAGGGCCAGGGGCTGACATTTGCCTTTATGCTTGTGCTCTGATGTCTGTTTTGTTTTCCGATACAGTCATTTATTTTAAATCGGGCTGAATACATCTTGCATCTTGAGAGAGAATTAAGATCCAGCATAGACAAGTTAACTGAACTGTGTAATCTGGTCCAACTGTTTTTTCATAAAACTTGCAGATTTATGGGGGTTTCTATCAGACCCTAGGTAAAAAAAAAAACACAGGCCAATTCAACATCATATAGTGATGATAGACATGAATATTCCAAGCCCATGAGAAAGCAGCAATAGGCAGCTCTGCGAAGGATGCAAGCACCATTTCTGTAGTTGCTGCATATGAGCATTCCTTACTGATTTGAACAAAGCTGTTCAGACGCAGCAGCTGCGTAGTCAGACCCTAAATGCGGCATGATAATGACTGGATATGGTCTAATTGGAAGGATCAAAAGCCTAATTTGTTAACATGGGGGAAAAAAAGACATCTATAAGCAAAAGAGTAGTAGGACTGATTTCTCCACTGTAAGTGCTGCATTTTTGTATTACTTGTTATCTGTCAGTAAACAAAATCTGTTAGTCAAGAATGTGAAGAGTAGAAACTCAGAGAAAGACAGATGTAGATGTAATATATCCCTACTCTAAAGATAGACCAAGACTCGTGGAATTCTTATCTGTCTCTATTTTTCCTTAAGAAATACTCAGAACAATCCACTTTATTTTTGTTACCATCATTTTTCTGATCCTCTACATCATTTTCATAGGATGGATGGTTTTTTCGTGTTCACTTTAGATTGTGTCCAGTATCTTCACAGCCATAATCAAGAGCAGGTTTTTCACTACTCATATTTACTAAGACACATTTGTATTTATTTATTCAAACCTATTTTGTTGCAAAAATAAGTTGTGTTTTCATCTTTACAGGTGAAAAATTGGAGCTGGGCAGGAATAGAACAGATTTGATTTACATGACATACAGATTTAGCGTAATTTCTGCCCTTAAAATATTCTTCAGCCATAGGATTTTTGTTTACTTTGCATTCTGTATGTCACCCTGCATCTTCCCAGCTCCATGCAAGGAGCTCAGCACCATTTGTTTCCACGCTGCGGTAGCCTACAGCTGAATATGTTCTTGAAGCACCTTGAGCCATGTAGCTGCCCTGCAGGCAACCATCTCCCTATGAAGCAGGAGAGATGCCCACAAGGCTTCTGGCTGCCCTAGGTTTAGCTGCCTCAACCTCTCACACCACCTCCATGATGCTGCTGCTCCTCTACCCAGTCAACATCTGCTCATTCAGGACCTTCACCCAGAGGATCTTATTCAAATCTCTCCTCTGCACAAGGGACCTACGAATTTCAAGTGACACCAACAGAGAAGGCTGACAGGGCTGGAGGACTCCCACTGTGACACACGGTAGAGCAGACCCAGACAAGGAAAGCTTTTGAGCCTGCCCAGTGCAGGTGCTTAGGTGGTACTGAAATTTTATCATAAACCTCAGACCACAAGTTCTGAGCATCACCACGGCTGGGTGCAGCTGATTTTGTGGATCAGACTTTAAAATGTGGTACCTGCAGCCTACTGTAAATCAGGTCACAAGTCCCTGGAAGAGGGACTTGGACCTCCCTGCTCCAGACGAGTGCTTTGTCAGAATGCACAAGCCCTCCCTCCCCTCCGGTGGCAACCCTTGGCTCCAGGTCATCTCACCTGGGATTCACGTGGGAGCGCTGCAGAAAGCCACTTTGTGAAGTGTCTTTGCATAAAGAGGCAGCATCTGCATGGGTTGCTTGTTTGCCTTTGGAGTAGCTGTGGGCAGTTACACTTCAACAGACTCCTTGCATTTGTCTTGTCCTATTAAGAATAGTAGCTATGGAACTCCACCTATATCTTTTAAAAAATATTCATTTAAGCTGGAAAAAAATACATATATTGGTCGAGGACAAGTCTCCTTCATTAGTCAGAACAGGAGACCTCCTGTTCCCAGGGTCTAACTGAATATCTGAGCCAAGTGCTAAGCGTCTTTGCAGAGCAAAAGGAGTGACGTGTCATTAGAGATGAAGCAGGTTCTTAGTCCTCAGCTGCCACAGGGGCATCCATGGCTGCTGAAATCACCCTCTGCGGAGTCTTTGAGCCTCCTTCCCATCCCCCTCAGGGCACTGTGGAATAGTTTTAATTGGAAGCAGATGTGCAACGTGGTAGGTAGGAGAATGCATCTGCTCAATGTGCAGATGTGCAACGTGGTAGGTAGGAGAATGCGTCTGCTCAATGTGAGCGCCTAGTAAATAACTCCTTGTATGATCACTTTGAAAGGGAAAAATACCATGATTCAAGGGAAAGGATTTAAAATGAGACGAGTACTCACTCACAGTCCATGGACTGGTCCATTAGTCTTGCCAATAATCCTTACAAATTATTTGGAGTCAAGAATATTCTCTTTCTTGCTTGCTAGATTTGCAAACTGGATGGAGTATTCATCTTCAGTGAATGGTCACAGGGAGATTTCCAGGTCATCACGCCCATTGCAAACACTTTTCCAATAACGTGGCCATGAAAATCATAGAGATGTGCTGTCAGGGATGACCAAGCTTGGTCTTAATTGGGAAGGGGTTTTTAGTTCAATATTGGAAACTAGGCCTCTTCATCTTGATTTCAAAAAGAATATTTGGGCCAAGTCTCCTGGTTTCAGGAGACTTTTCAATTTTTTCTGTCACAGTGGATCTGCCTGGCTACTGTAGTCTGGTTTTATGGAAGGTGTTAACAGCTGCATCACACAGATCTACAGTTACCAAGATTTATGAGGTTGCTGTATTTTTGCCCTGCACTTCATTGCAACCCTTTTGCCCCAAAAAATCCTAGTAGCTATACTTGGACACAGGTAAGGTAATCACAGGCAGTCTTCTGTGGCAGGAAATAATTTAAACCACAACTCATCTGCTTCCAGATATGAACGTGCAATAGGGGACACAGGCTGAGAAGGCCTGAATGTAAAATTGCTTGTGCGTTAAATCACTGGTAAAACATTTCTTCGGCCTCATTCCAACTACTGGAAAGAGGAGTTACGCTTTTGTGAACACAGGATCAATTTATACTGTGTCACCATGTCCTTACTTGCACAATGAGCTTTCCATACCTTTTGTTTTGCTCATCCTTGAAAACTTTTGAGCAGACTTTATTCCAGTTCTTATTCTGGCTCGTCCAATATCTTCCACGGACACGGAAGAACCCTTAGCATGACAGTGCTACATAGCTAAGTGAAGTAAAGAAGCTTAAGGATTAAAACTAGAGATGCAAATGCTTTATGCATCTTCTAGATGCAAGAAATTTTGAGAAAGTTGCAAAACAGACATTCTAATAAATGTCACTTTGTAGTCATAGCAGTCAAGTCCCAGTTTTAAAGCGGGGAAATGCAGCTTACAGCAGACTGCATTTTCTAGCTGTCACACCAAAACTGCAACTCTGAAATCAATTTGTCCTAAGAGAACCAGCTTCCCAGCTGGCTTCCCAAGCCAGAGAACCAGGAAGCAAAGCTTACTCGAAAACCAGAATGAAACTCAGTCCATTTCCATTGTCTAAGAGGTTTAAAGGGGAAAACAAAAAAAATAACAGACTGATGAAACAGAAGACCAGAAGTCCAAAACTCTCTCATTTATGAAAGCCCTCCCCTAAATAATGAATTTAGTCTAGTTATTGTATGATGTTATTAGTAAAACTGCTAAAGGCATTTCTGCATAAAAAAAGGAAAGTGCACGCATGCCCAATTATTCCCTTTTATGTTATTTGGGGACACAATTCTCTGATGTCTTGCTTTCAAAAGCCTAGTATTTTCCAGTGCACTGAATAGATTGGCTCTATCTCTAGCTCAAACATCAAAAAGTAACCTTCACGTTCATCAATGAAAAGTGACAACTGATTTTATTAACTGTATTCATTATAACACATAATATGACAGTGGGAATATTTTTCACTGTAAGATTTTTGAATGGAAGAAAAGTGCAGTTAGTCTGAGTTCCTTACATTCATTAGAAGCAAGACTATTGAAACCATCAACATTTACAATGACACATAAGCAAACACCAGAATCAGTGCCAATAAATACACAGAGTACCAAAATAAATATTTACAGAATTAAAAATATAATAAACACTGATTAGTATATCCTTGTGAACTGCCAGGGAAGAAAGACATCTATTGCTATCAGTTAGGTTGTAAATACAGTGATTGGAGGAGACACATACTCATCGAAGTTTGCAGAAGTGGAAAGGAGCAGAGTGTGTCTAACAGTCTGTTATAAAAACACCCCCCGGAGCGTTGTGAGCCTTCACTAATAAAAAGTTGCTGCACACAGACTCGTCAGATTATTAGCAAACCGTTTAGATAAGAAGAGAGAGGAGTTCTGGTTTACTCACTCATTATCTTGAATAGTTTGTATTCTACCTTACTGGAGGTGCCTGGCACCAAAGATACGAGGGGAAATTGCAATTAACAGTGATCTGTCAGCTATAACACGTCTTATAGGAACAGGTTAAGTGACTTGTAACAGGACACATCTGTCCTTTCACACATAGGAAACCTCGAGAGCATCGGTTTGTCAGATGCAGTGTGGAGCACTCCCTGCTACATTTTCCTCAGGCAAACCATGATATTTAAGCAGAATTGGGCTGTGATAAAAGACTGAAGCCAGGCTGTGTTTTTACTGGACTTACTGAATCTGCATTTTCCACCAGCCACCTTCATACCTCATCCCCCATTTCAACGGGGCCACAAGCCTCAACACCAGAGCTGTTCCGAGACACACTCTGCTGACAAACACAGCAAGGAAAATTCAGATGGGGCCAAATTACAGGATCTCCACTCAATAACAACCAACACCGCTAATAGATCCACTGATTTCAGACTGGTGGACTGAGACATTGTCCAGCTGTTACAATCTGTCCCATGGCAGAGGATTTGCTTCAAATTTCCACAAAGGCAACAGCTTCAGCCTTGCTCCCTCTTTTGAAAAGCAGGATAATCTTGCTTTTACCAAGCCACGTGCTGCAGAAAGTTCCTTGGGCTCTAGCTAGGATCCAGTGCTGCTGCACAGTGTGCCTTACACTCCCCTGCACGCCTGCCCTTGGGCTGCAAAGGTGCAGCCAGTGCTCACTACCCTGCCAAGGGCTTGGGTCATCACACCCCCTGGAAAAACGAGGATGGAAGAGCAGCAAGATGCCATGGGTCAGGTCAGTGCTGGGCTGCAGGGGATTTGTGGAAGTCTCCGTGCTAAAACTGCCTTCAGAACTGCTCAGGTGTTGATGAGAGCAGTCACACTGTTGTCCACTGGCAGGAGCACTGACTTAACACACCCAGACTCTGGTTCCTAACTCAGTGTAACACAGCAATCCAAGCACTAATGCAAGGAGAAAAAAAAACAGTAGCCAGATTTTATAGGCGTATGTTTAATTCTTTTTCCACAGAGACCAGAGGTCCAGCCCCTGCTTTCACCCCATCTCCCAGCCACCCTATCAACCCTCCTATCCTGGCACAGCACCACCATCCTGGCTTTGCCTGCTGCTGTCCAACCTGGCAGACACCTCCACACGGTGACACCCTGGGACCCTCTGGAGGGACCACAGGGCAGGGTCAGACAGCAAATTCTCCCGCTGACAGTGCCTGGCACCCCAAATCCGTGGGGTGCAGGTGAGTTGGGGCAGACCTTCCCCTTTGCTGCCATTAAGCAAGAAACATCACCAGATGTGAAGCTTTTGCATTTTAAGGTCAGGCTTAATTCAAAGCAGATGTAGCCAATTTTCTTTTACGAGCACATTATGTTCAAAGCTTCCAATGCATCTACATAAAAAGCCCATAGAAACAACCTGATACTGAAATAGCAACTGTTTTGATGCAACATCACCCAAAATAATAAAAATGTTAAAGTTCTTACCATTCAGTACCTACACACCGGTCTCCCTAAAAACAGATTTAAGATGTGGCTGTGAAACATTAAAGGGAGGCATCATTAGTTACCGTATCAAGAAACAAGAACAATAACACAATAAGAAGGGGTTTTAGCGCTTTGGAAAGGATCTGGTCCTGGTTTTGCCATCACAAGTTAAATTAAGGAAGGCAGTGATTGTGTTAGCTGTAATTTAAACATGCTGAGCACTGGAGTTACACGCGGGAGTGGCTGCTTGTTAAGATGGAAGAACAACAGAAAGACATGTTTTGCGTTCAGATCAGTGAAAATACTGCTACAATAATATAAAAGACTGCACAATCACCTGAATAACGTTCATCTTTAAAAAAAGGGAAGACTTATTTAAGAACCACTTCCTATTTCCTTCCAGATTAAGAGATTAAGGACCTTCTCCAGTTCTTACTGGAGTCAGTGGAAGCTTTGCCACAGAACAAATGGGCCTTAGAAGGAGATTGTCATGTTTTCTCGGTGTTTTTTAGGTTTGTGGCCATAGCTGCATCAGCTTCTATTTCTGAGCATTGCTTGCATGTGATGTTACAGGAGGCAAAGCAATCTTCTTTTAGCCACTGCTACAAGAAACCTCTCAGCCTAGCAGTTTAAACTCCTTGCCCTGTGGAGTACGTAACCTTTTCCTCTCTCCACTGCAACTTTGGTTCTATTTATTGAATTATATACACAGAGGAAAAAGAAAAGCAGTTCTTACCAAAGAAAAAGAAAATCTGGGCACAGTCTCCATAACAAACAGCTTCTGGGCTTTCCCAGAAGAGCGACATGCTTCCCCGCTAGATTTGCTAGATGGTCCACAACAGGAAAGTGGAGGGATATATTCCACTCTATGCAAAATATCACTCAACATTCTCACCCACGTGTATGAGATCACACAGCAGAGATCTCAGTTTTAAATACCTTTGCAGTTTCTTCTGAAAGTGAATTCATTTTTTCCAGACCGAGTAGGAGCAAAGCCCCCTTGAAGAACACACTGGCAGCAGCTCCTCTTTTCTAGTGCCGGAGGGATAGGTCAAAATTCTGTTTCCCAAGCTACTGCAGTATGGCTGAGAGGGAACAAAAGACAGAGGGGGGAAAAAAAAGTGGTCCCAGGCAATAGTTCTCACTGTTTTGCATGGAGAAGCCCTCTAAGGCAGGAAGAGCTTTAACAACCTGCTTTTGCAGGAATAAAGGCCCCCAGGATGTGGATTGAGTGGATATAGCTCTTATTCCCTTGCATATAGCAACTTCTTCCATTTCTCTCTACAAGAAACAGTCCTAGGAAACACCAATCAATGCTGACCGCTCCTAGCCAAGATGCTCACGGGGAAGACAACATGTGTGCTAATGATGAGCTCAAAAATTTCTGTGAGTCAGATTAAAAACAAACCGTCCCCTGAACACAACCAGCAAGAGAGATTCGGATATGTCCCGCTCACAGTAAACAGCCCATGGGCTCATGACAAGGGAATCCCATCATCTCATCCCTCCCATTCCTCAATGCAAGGGAGGGATGTTCAGTGGGGAGCAGTCCCAGGCCACTGAGGACAACTGACAGTGTATTCTCAGCATTGAATCTCAGAAGAGTCAGTTATTGTGCAATTCTGCCCGACACGTGGGGTTATGTCACCACAATGAAAACATAAACAAAGCAAAAACAACAACAAAAAAGGAAGAGCCAAAATAAAGGAAATTAAAAACCTGCAGAAGCTGTCACGTGTAAACTCTGCCAAGACTCATTTCTGCAGCGTCTGTGAGTCAGTGTCAATTTGTTTTTCCAAGACAGAAGCCTCAGCCTTTCATATCAATAACTACGAAAATACATTTTCAGGCCACCTTGCTCCGAGTCCCCCATTGTGGCTGTTAGATAACCATCTGCCTTGTAAGTGGCTATTGTTACTGTGAACTGTCTCTTTCATGCCATTATCTTGCTGAGAAGCCTTTTCTGAAAGTAGTCCATTAGAACAGGGGGGGAAAAAACCTCTGAGCATGGCCATGTAGCAGAATCAATGGCTCCCTTTGATCTGCAAGCTCACCCAGTACTACAAATTTAAGGAAAAACAAGGTTTTGCTTTGCAAAGCAAAGCCTGTTAATTTGGCTCATCTGCACTTAGGGCATCTTACTGAAAATGCCATCTGTATCAGACGTTTTGAAGACTTTGGTGCAATATTCGCTTAGCTTAGATAAATAATTTAGTAAGAGTCATTAAAAAATAATCAGTGAATTAATTTTCATAGTGTACATCTCTGCATGTAATTTTAAAGATTCAGTCCTCTACTACCCTGAATGGCGGTGAGGATATTCACAGTGGATGAAGAAAATGCTGGTGATTGATGGAATAAGACTGAACGTAGATTTTTCTTATTCTAGTCATGGAATTTCTTCTGAAACCTACTACGTGTGCTTGAGTCCTATTACTGGCAAGAGCAAAATGCATACGCACTACAGGGAAAATAAGACCCTTTATATCTGCTGCAGGCCACACATACAGTACAGGAAATGTAACTCCTCTCATGACAAAAGAAGTCCACAAAAACATCATTTCATGCTACGGAAAGGAAATCTTTTGTGCTGATATATAGGACAGGAATGTATACCACTGAAATCACTGTAGATAGCTATAAAACACTATGCAATATATAGAAATACCCTAAGAACATACAAAATTTACCAGTAGTGACCTGAAAGTGCAAAGAGTACATATAGAACTAAATGGCAAGTCCTGATCTATAAAATCCTTTATGAATTACATACAAGCTGATAATTACAAAGCATTGTTCAGACCACAAAATAACAAATAAAACAAATAAAGAAAAGTATTCTTTAAGAAAATAAAAAAGACGACAGCATTGGGAATGTTATCTTTGGGACTCAGAACACCACTTCTACCTCGATACCTACCAAAGCCAAAGAAAATATATGCTTGAACAGGGTAACATAAATAAGAATGCAAAGCATTACAGAATGCCTCAGGACTATTACCTCTTTATGTCTCAGCCTTTAAATCCAGCAAACCATTAACTGTTTGTTCTTAGGCATCTCACAGTATTTTGCAGGGATCTTTTGGGAATTAAATCTAGGTCTAAAGAAAGCCTCTGAACCTCCTTCCAATGATTGTTTTCGGCATTGTGTGGAGTTATACAAATATATTTCTATGAAAATTGAAAGCCCTACCAAATATTAAATTTTCTATGACCTTCTGACATAAAAAAACATAGATGGCTTAAAGACAAAAGTGAGTTTTATAAATACAAAGTTAATTTGAGCATTAAATTGCATTTTAACTCTCACACAACCATTACCCTGAATCAACGTCAGTTATGTCGCAAGGAGTCAAAATGCTGACGCCCTACCACAAGCCACTTTCCCATTTTCCTTTTAAGGATATGATTGTCCTTAAAATATGTACATAGCAAGCAGCCAAACGAACCGCCAAGAGATTTGCAAAATGCACGAAGGCTGGGTATGGGATAGAAAGATGGAGAGAGCAGCCGGGGAGCACCTGGGCCACCCTCCCACCCCGTCCCCAACCCTGGGGCTCCCCGCTCCACACCGGGGGGGTCCCACCGAGGAGGAAGCCCCCCCCACCAGCATGCAGAGGAGGGAGGAAAAACAGGGCGGAAAACAAAGGAGAGAGAGAAAAATGAAGGGAAGCCAAAGCATTTTAATGATGATTCGTGTTAGTCATTAGGCGAGAGGGAGCTAGTCTAGCGTCACTCCATTGGTTTCTCAATACAGACATGCCACAACGCAAACAAAATGCATATGAGGAATAATTAGCCACACACCAGTCCTGTAGAGACGGTAGCTCCTATCCTCTAGTGCTTTTAAAGATGCACCACCCCTACTACCTGCTCTCAGTGCCTCCAGATTTGAGGGTACTCCCCCAAGCTCACCACGTCCTCCCTCCCTCTCAACTTCCAGTGCCCTATAGAATCTCTGCACTGTTTGTCCTTACAACAAAATGGGGAATTATGATTTTTCTGCAGAGTTGGCATGCAAGGAAAGATGTGTCCCTTCCAGTCAAATGGAAACAGAAGAACAGAAACAGGGCTGTTTGTTAGGTTTAGGGCTGAGGACCAGGATGATATTCCATGCTCTGTACATTCATCCTTTCCAGGGTATTATTTCAGCTTGAACTTTCTAAAATGCACAAGCAGAGCCAGGCCAAATGCAAATCCCTTTCTCAGGCAAAGGGAATCGCCGCCGGCGTGTTCGGAGAGAGACCTACAGCACATTCCCTCAGCCTGTGCATGGGAGCGTGCACGCGTGGCTGTGTTCACACGAGTGTGCAAGGGTGTGCACCTGCCCCCGGGGGGGCACGGACCCCAGGAGATGGCACGTTCTGACCACACATGCATATGTACAACACGTCTGTGTGAGTAGGCATGTAGAGAACCACACACATACATACACCTTAGAAAGAAAACACATAAAATAAGTCTTCTTTGAAGTGTATTAAGGTTCTTCCTCAAACCATGAAAACAGGGACTGATGGGGAAAGCCACCGCTTTCTCCCTGGTCACTGGGGCATTGCAGTTTGGTATTAAATCCTGCTGTAATTTCAGAAACAGATGCCAATTTTACCCTTGTGAATATAAGGTCATTTCCCCAGTGAACCACACATATACATATAGACTATTCTTATTATGGCATTTCCCGGCTTTTTATGGTTTGTCTATAACCTTAATATCCTTCAAACGTATATTCTGTATATTTATTTTCCTTTTTTTCTTTCGATTTAAGAGACAATAAAACCAACTGCTATGTAAGATCAGACCCATTAGCTTCAATTATGTGAATTTAGGATTCTCTGCATAATATAGACACGTATATTTTTAAAATGTATATTATTTTTCAGATACACTGGAGCATATATTTTATATTAACTGTGGTCTGATGATTAAATACTTATATCAAAATATTTTGTAAATAGATAACATTTACCTTTAGACTTCAGTGATTTTTGGAGCTTTTTCAGTGTATCATAAAAATATGTCCTCAGGCACATTAAAACCCTATTAAATTTCTTTGAAATGTTGTCAATGCCCACGTACAGTAGCCACTGTTCAAAAAACGTCCTGGCCATTAATACATTTCTCATAGAAGACAAGCTCATCAGACCATTTTAGGTACCACTAGCTTACCGTATTTCTTTTTCTCTCTTAAAGTAAAATTATTCTGACGTTATTAAGAATGAAAAGAAAAAGCAACAAGAACCCAAACTTTCTTTAAATAGTCAAAAAACTAATTTTATATATTTTAAAAAATAATAATTAAAAAACACCTTTCTTTCCTGGGTTCCTTCTCTGTAAGGTTTAAGCCCAGAGCAACTTTGTCTAAACCCCTGAAAATAGAGGTTTGCAGTGGCAATGCTGTCAGAACCTCAGCTCCAACCCATGGAATGTGCCACTGGAATAAAATCAGCACTTCAGACTTACTTATCTGGGGATGCATGAGCCCATACAAAACAGAGTTTTGCTCTAATTTAAGGTACTTACACAAAGTTCTATCATTTTAGAACTGTAAAATTATCTACCTATAAAAACTAACTCTTGCTTAAACTCTAGATAATACAGACGGGTGATTTTTTTTTCTTTTTATAAAAAATCTGTAGCATTGAGTAAATCTGCTAAAATATGTATATATTTACACATGGCGAGCAAGTTATTGTATAAATGTGAACAGTGTGTATATATTGGCATTTAGTAAAATGTTTCCCTGAACCTGATTGTATGCGTTATCAGACAAGTATTGATGTAAACATCTGAACCTAGGTCAGGTGTCTCTGTTACCCATTTACATTAGACCAGATCAAAACCAACCAGACAGACAGACAAACAAAAATATGTTTTCCTGCTAGACAAGTCCACCTAACTCCTTAGTGAGCTACTGCACACAAGTCAATCAAGTCTGCTTCTGAGCAGTGCTCTCGTTCCTACAGCAGGTAAAATACCTGTTAGGTTGGTCGTTTTTTGCTTGGTATTTTTTTTTCCAACATCTCGTAGAGCAAACACCATTTTCGGAGCCAGGCGCCCACCCTCCGCTCCTCCCCCAGAAATGATTAAAAGATAAGTGTATTGGAGAACCTCTCCTGTCGCTCCTTCTGTAACTCTGTTCCCCTGAAGAACTGATGGCACTGCTCTGCACGAGGAAGGATGCTCAGTTAGGTTCATAATCCAAGTCCTGCTTCCAAAAAGGCATGTAAAAATGAACCTCCCCAGTGTTTAGAGCTGCAGAAAAACAATACAAATGTAAAAAAAAAGTGCTCAAAAAGACGTCGATTATTTTATATTCAGCCATATAGTCTAGTAAGACGGGATTCAGAAGTGCAGGCCCATGGAGCACAGTAAAGTAAGCCTTTTTGGTGCCTTTCTTCAGGTGATGTAAAACTAATTCATTATCTGTGGTCTCCTACCCAGACTTTCACACACCGACCTTGCTGTCCGACTTTGTCTCCACCTCCTACTCAACTATTTTTTGGCACTGTCCTGGTATGTGGCAGCTTTCACCGTTGTCCCTGCTAAGCCCCTGTTACTGACCCGGCGTACCAGGACTTTAGAGACGGGGATTTTTGTTCTGTGCATCTCACTTTTGGCCAGGTGATGGTGTGCAACGTGATGGCTGTTACTGGAGTCTGCTCCGTGGCTGGCAGGATGTGATGAAAGGTGTTTAATGCTGATGGGTATCTTGGAGTCCCTCAGCGTGCTTGAGGGTGTTTTCAGTGAGCACGTGGTTGTTATTGGAGACACGGGCTTGGAGCGTGGCACACAAGTGACCCCTTCATCTGCAGGGGCCGCTGGCGGGGTCTCATCCGGCTCAGTGTAGAGGTCATAGAGAGCATCCCCACTGTAGCTGTCCCTGGGAATGGTCTCCTTCTGAATGCTTGTGGAACCATCTTCCTCAGGCCCAGGGGTGGTAGAATCCCAGTAGCCCTCGTCACTGTTTGGGACGCCTTCGTGCTGATCCTTCTCCCTGCTCTTCTGCTCCTCTTTGTGGTTGAGGTGAATGGGGATCTGGTGGAGGCCACCACGTTTCACCGCCACCCTGTTCTGGGCCCCCTCGGTACCCCGGTTCTCTTTCAACCCCTCGGGCTTCTTCGCCCCTCCTCCACCTCCTCCTGCTTCTGCCTGGGTCTCCTCTGTCTGCGACAGCATATCCCAGAACTCCTGCAGGTAGGTGTCATCCACCTGGTCCGGGCTGGCCATCTCCTCCCCTCCTCCTTGGTAGGCCACCATGGTGGGGTGCTTCTTGGAGGCCCCCAGTTTGCCGGCCCCAGGGGCGCTCTTGGCGCAGCCGCCACTCCCGCTGCCCACATCCTCCTCGTGGTCCGCAATAATATCTCCGCAGCCTGTAAGAGAGTCAAAGCTTTTCAGTGAAGTCACGTCAGCAAACATCAAACAAATACGATCAATCGATTGCTCTGAGGGTGGATCAACAGAGGAAGGGTCAGGGGCGGCTGCCGTCTCTTGACCGCTATCACAGTGAGGTTCAACAGGGGGAATAGTCGGTATTGGAACGTCACCTGTTATGGCCGCATCCTTCGCAGTCCCAACCTCTCCTCCGGCGCCCGGCTCCGGTGGCTCCCGGCTGGGCTCCTCGGGTCGCCTTCCAGCGGCAGGGTCCTCCCCGGGGGGGACGGCGCTGTCCCGCGTCTCCCCCCCTCCCGCCTGGGGCTCCGGGGCCGAGGCTCGGGCCTCGCCGCTGCCCTTCTCCCGCGGCGCCTCCGGCCCCACGTCCCCCGCGCCGCTCGGAGTTTCACACAAAGGTTTCGGCGTCTCCTCCTTGATGCACTCCAGGCTGGCGGTCAAAGACCCCGGCATAATAAGGCCGGCCTGGATCTCCGAGGTTTCCCCCCTCTCCTCCTTGCCGTTCTTGTCCTTTTTATGCCACCGCATGCTGCTGAAGATGCCTTTCAGCCCCTTCTTTTGTCTGCCGCCGGCCCGCTGCTCCGCGCCCTCCGCCTTGCCGCTCTCCGCCCTGCCGTTCTTCCTCAGCAGGGAGAAGAAGCTGTGCGACTTGGCCACCGCGCTGCCGGGGGAGAGGCCGGGGCCGCCGCCCGCCCGGCCCTGCGGCTCCGCGCTCTGCGGGTCCCCGCCGCCGCCGCCGCCGCCGCCCGGTTCCTCCTTCTTGCCGCTCTCCAGCACGGCGTCGGCCAAGCCGTCGTGCGTCCGGCTCCGCACCATCCCCGCGGCTTTGCCGGCGCCTTTCCCTTCCCCGCCTTTGCTCCTCACCCCGAAGATGCTCGGCATGGTGCCCCCGGATTTCCTCCTCTTGAACAGTTTGAAGGCGGTTTTGTTAATCCTCCCCGACGGCTGCTCGGCGGCCG